AAATTATGATCCGCATAATATTCTGATATCTTAATTATGTTTGCATTATGAAATTTTTTTGGAGTTTCGAGATTTGATACGTGTTTGCGGTTTGTGGTAATTGGGGTTTGGGGGTCTGAGGTTTGTAGTTTGGAGTTTAGGGTTTACATTTGTGGTTTAGGGTTTAAGGTTTAGGGTTTAGGGTTGAGACGACTACATTACGACTAATAAATAATTGGAGTCTAAATAGTCGTAATATTACGACTAAGTTACAATTAATTGTTGTAACGTAGTCGTAATGTTTCGACCCTAATTGGTCGTAATATACAGATGGACACACATTAGTCGTAGTGTCGTCGTAACGCGTAGTCGTAATGTAGTCGTAATACCTCTTGGTCGTCCATTAGTCGTAATATTACGACTATTTTATGACTATTGGTCGTATATTAGTCGTATAATTACGACTAATGTACGACCAAGCTCAAAACTGTATATATATAGGGACCTTGCGGAAGCATTTCAGTTGCTCATTCACTTCTCTCTAACAACTACTCAACATCTCTCTAGGTAATTGTTTTTTTAGGTGGTTAGTTAGGTAATTAGTTTAGGTTTGTAGACGACGGGAACATGTTTCAACTGATATGAACATAGAAAAGACTGAGGTGTAGTTTTAACTGAAAACATGTTTCAACTGATATGAACATTTATTTCTGCAGAGAAAGAAGTATCACATTTTGGCTTATTGCACTGATGAACAATGAAATTGTCGATAAGAAGGTTCATTATTAGGATAAGTTTTTTTTTTGGTTTATGAAACTGTGATTCTCTCTCTTCATGTGTTCCCCCACTAAAGATTACTTTAAGCGTAATGAACGAGCTCTCGAGTTTCTCAAAGTTATTAAGTGGAATAGGATTGAATAACCAAAAGAGTTCACCCTTGAGATTTTTATTTTTATCAGAACTCTTCAAGAACACTGTTTTCACCAAGACATAACATGATTGATGAAGATAAGTTTAACCTCAATAAGGCCATTGGGTATCGTCACACGCCCTCCAGTCACGCCATATATATATTTATTTACTTTTAACTGCTAAAAATCGTTTGAGTACTAATAAGACAGATTTGATGTGAGAAAAAGAGATGACGGAATATGAAAGATGGAGGGAAGCCAAAAGTGAGAAAAGAAAGAGACAAGAGGTTCATGAATGTGTTAAATTTATACGTTTTCTGTTTTCAGTTTAACTAGAAGAATAGTGTAAGTAGCAATGAGGAATCTCCTTCTCCGGAAAAAAATCTTCGCTTATTTATGTAGAAATATACAGAAATAATAGTTAAGTCTCTGATATGAGGTCGTGTTAATTTAATTCATGGCAAAATTATATGGTTTAAATGTAAATTTTTGGTAGTAGTTTCCTTAAAACGTTTGTCATTTAGCTTGGCTTTAGTTTTATTGTCATTTGTAATCTATTATATTAAAAGAGAAGTCATGACTCACTTCATGTGTGATTTTTTTAGTTTGGACAATCCTTAGAAATTTTATATAAATTTACATAACATCATTATAATATATTTTATATCTTTAATTTTTATTTGAAATACAAATAAATAATTTTAAGAAAATTCTAACAAAATCTTTTAAAAATCTGATAGAATCTTTTCAAGATTAGTTTCAAAAATTATTTGATTAAAAATTTAATTATCATAGAATATAGTTAAAATTTAATTCATTTTTAACAAAAAAATTAAAATTATGTAATATACTTTTAACAATATCCCAAAATTTTGTTTATGTATTATGTAGGTCCAAGTTAATTTACTTTTTATATATTTAAAATTTAGAAATAAAACAAAATATATAAATTAGTAATTTTACATAATAATTTTTTAAAAAATTGTTACAAAAACAAATTTAGAAATTTTAAATTAATAATATTATAAGATACATAAATATTATAATAAATTGGATAGTATATATTTATTTATTGATGAATTTTACTCCCTCCGTTACTTAATATATGATGTTTTGGATCATAGCACAAAAATTAAGAAATTTACATTCTTTTACAAAAGTAATTTTAAAGATATAATTTTATAATCATTCAACAAATTATTAAAAAGAGTAAAATTTTATCGGTTGAACAGTTTCCAATAAAATTAAAGATAACTTTAAAACCTCAAAATATACATTAAAATCTCAAAAATCTTATATTTTGAAATAAAATAAATCTTATAAAACATCATCTATTTAAAACAGAGTAAGTATTATATAATTTCAAATATTTTCGTATTAAAATACCCGCACGGTTGTGCGGGTCGAGATCTAGTGTTTTCTTATAAATTGGTTTGGAGGACAATACTATTATTTATTTTTGTCAATTTTGAGTAAATTTATTCTGTATCATAAAATGATAAGGTATCAAATGATTCAGTTTGATATGAAAAATAACAAGTTTAAATCATCGGTTTAACAAAAATCATAAAAATTTAGCTAGAGAAATTTTGTTTTTTGGTCAAACTAATAGTAAGTATATTAAACCAAGATTGCATACTATATATTTAGTTAGACTGATATATTTAATTTTGAAATAAACCAAGTAAAAAGTTGGTTATACATTGGTTTTATACATTCTTTGAGACAGATGATAAATAAAATGGAAACTCGATGATTTTATCAAAATTAAATCAATAGAAAATCTAACAATTATTTTAAATACCAACTTAAATAATCCAAATTAATATTTTTTTCTAGATCAAAAATAAGGTTTAGTTAATTTCTAACTCCTATAGAGTACATCTATAATTTGGAATAAAAACACAACAAATTATAAGTTCTAACATTTCGAACTTATTAGAACATAAAAAATTTATTATAAATAGTATTAAAATTTATAATAAATTCTAATGTATATATGTAAATATATATATATATATATATTCAAATAAAAACTGTGATAGAAAAAATAATTAGAATTGTAGATATTAAAAATCTGAAATTGCAAATAAGAAAAAATAAATTTGTCTAAGGTTTTGTTTTTTCCTAAAAAAAAAACTTACTTATATTATTTTGTGGTCATTGGAAATATGTCACAAAAATTAATATTGGTGGTAATTTGTTGGGTTTTATCTCCTAAATTTAGATTTATTTATTTTTAAATCACTAAACTTTACCCATCATGCTGTAACTTTATTTTAAAATTTACATCAAGTTTTTATTAATTTCTGCCAATTGTGCTTTAGCTTTACTTTAGAGCTCCAAAAAAAAAAAAAAAAAATAAAGCAAAAATATTTCTTATGTATTTAGGAAAAAAATCTACATCTTCTTTTTATAAGCTGCGGAATCCGTAAAATGAAAAAAAATATCTACAATATCAAATAAATGAGATAATCATAATAAAAAATTTATAAATATTTTAATTTTATTTTAGGTAAATAACATAAATATTATTTACATATCACATTTAGAATAAAAATAAAATTTGATAATTTATAGAAAATAATCAATATAAATTTTGTTAATTTATAAAAAATAATTATATACATCACATATTTCAGATATTTTATTTTAAAATATCTACAGCCTATAGCTTAAAACTACATTAAAAGTTTATGCAAAAAAAATCTACAATATCAACTTTACAGCTACAACCAATTTATCCACAACTAAACTTCTTCAGATAAATTTTTAAAGTCACAGTTGAACCAACCACCACCATTGTATATATAGATTCATTTATATGATACAAACATATTTTCAAATGAATAAAACAATACATTTTATTATAATGTAATATTAAAATTGGAATAACAAGCAATTTATAAATAACAAACCTGGGTGTAGTCCGAGAAAAGTTTTAGTGGTTCTTAAAATCACGTAAGGTTGTATGTGTAATGGTTCTTCTTGTTAATTGTATTTCAATAAACCAAGATTTTTTTTTCCTATGAAAACCGGCCTTAAATTGAATTTCTGCTTTGCATAATGTGAATTGGCAATGCATATGTGGTTACGATGTTTGATATTTTTGAAACATAGACATAAGGCAATGGTCCATACAATTTCTCTAGGGAGTTTAATGCATTTAATAGGAGTGGTGAGATGAGCTGTGGTGATGACACCTCAGCATAGTAAAAAATGTTAAAACTTAAACAATGTTCCTCAATTAATATATAGAGGATGAGTATCTTAGGGTGTTCCGTCCAGATGAAAACAAGATGTTGATGTACAAGTATTTACCAAATAAGAGTCTAGACGTTGCATATTCTGTAAATTTAAGAGATTTGATTTCTCCGTTAAATCTGAAGTCTACAGCTTTAGAGTATTGATGTTAGAGAGTATAAGCGGAAAGAAAAACATTGCTTTCACAAGGAATCATCAGACCTTGTCGGACATGTAAGTACTAAACTGCATTTTTCACATAAACAGAGGAACAGAACAGAACATAAGCAAATGCTTGTTTTTTCATCTTTGTTGATTTGGGATATATGTGGAAAAGGTGAAGAAACAGACATTATAGACAATTTAATGGACCAAAGATACTTATGATAAGAGCGAAATGGTGAAGTGCATACACATTTGTTTACTTTGTGTGCAAGAAAACGCCTCCGACTGAGTAGAGTGTCCTAAGCTTTCATCATGTTGGGTTAAAAAATCAAATATGTTTTCCTGTATTTAATGAAACCATGAAAAATCAGCACTGATCTTTTCCACAGTCCAGATTCGTTTCAAATTGACACAAAACCAACAGTATTTCAATTCTTTCTCTCAAGACAAAACCTACTGTGCAGCTTCTTTGTCCAGGTTTGTTAAGTTTCAGTAGTAGAATCAATTTTATCAATACAGCTCAGTTTCACGTAAGGTGTTTTTAACTGAGGTAACAAAACTAAATCTGTAATTAGTGAATCTAAACATAACTTTCCTGAAATACATCATTTCTTTAATCCAGTCATTAAAATGTGCATTATAACAAAATTTCCAAGCATAGTTCTCAAAACTTATATATTAGGCAGGCATATTGGCTTGAGGTTAACGCCCAGTTACGGCTGTGAGGCTCACATTACTGATAGAGACCTTTTGACTACTCTGGTCAGAAGATCCTCTTCTTTCTATTAACGCACGTTGCTTCGGTTCTTCGAGGTTCGTGTCTTCGGTCGTTAGCATCCAAATCACGGTAGAAACGTTTGGCCTATCGTTTGCAACTTCTTGCACACACAACAAACCAATCTGAACACATCTCGTTATCTCTTTCTCGAAATACTCATCATACACGGTTGGATCTGCTAGAGAAGCAGCCTCACCTTCATTCCAGAGCTTCCACGCCTGTAAAAAGACCAAACTACATGTAAGTTTCAAAGCTAATAAAGTTACTAAACACTGATTACTAGTACACACTTACATAAGCTAGAAGGTTTAGATTATTCTCTTCCTTGTGAGAGTTTTTTCTCCCACTTATGATCTCTAGGAATATAACCCCCAAGCTAAAAACATCTGACTTTTCTGAAATTAAACCTTCCATTGCATATTCAGGTGACATATAGCCGCTGCAATAACAGAAAAAAAAACGGATTCATATTGGTTATGATAAAACCGGTTTTCAAAATATTAGTTTTTGTATTTTGGGAAGGGATACTTACTATGTTCCTACAATTCTTCTTGTGTTAGCTTCATCTTCATTTGCTTGAAAAACTCTAGCAAGCCCAAAATCGGATATTTTTGGATTCAGATTGTCGTCTAACAAAATGTTGCTGGCTTTTAGATCTCTGTGTATGATCTTTAGTCTTGAATCTCTGTGAAGATACAAAAGACCTCTGCAAATTCCTTCAATAATGTTGAACCGAGTCTTCCAGTCAAGAAGCTTTTGCTTCAATGGGTCTGAAAAAAAAAGCAAACAAAATCATTAAATCATTAGCATTCTCTTCCATCATCCCAGGTAACAAGAGTTAAAAAAAAGAAAAGAGGAGATAGGTTTACCAAATAGATAAGCATCCAAGCTTTTCTTTGGCATATATTCGTAGACTAACAGTCTTTCTTCACCTTCAATGCAACAGCCAAGTAACTTCACCAGATTCTTATGTTGTAACTTTGAAATCACAACCACTTCATTCATAAGCTCCTCAAGTCCTTGTCCTGATGCCTGTGAGAGCCTCTTCACTGCAATTTCTTGCCCCTCCGACAATTTTCCCTGGTTAAAAAAGATTACCAATCACTTAGTCTGAAACTCTTTTCAAAACAGATTCTTGTTTGATGACTTCACCTTGTAAACAGGACCAAATCCACCTCGTCCGATCTTGTTTGCTAGAGAGAAGCTATCAGTTGCTGTGGCTAACACTTGAAACCCAAAGAGTGGAAGCTCCTTGAACTTCACTTGGTTAGAAGCAGACGCATTTCCACTTGTAAGTGCTTCCATTCTCTTAAACATTAGCTCTGCACTTTTATCTTTATAAAAGCAAACAAATTATTATAAAAGGAACAATGATAAGCTTTTAAAATCATCAATGAACTCTAACCTGGACGTTTTTTGAATTTTATCCATGCTAAAAGAAGGCAGACAACAGCAACAAACGCGACGCTTAGCACGGGTGCAGTGATCATAATGGATCGATTGCTATGTGTTTCTACAAGATTTTGATGAGAAAAACATAAGTTAACCAAGTAAAACAAGTGAGACTAGTAGAGGGGGTTTCACTCACTGAATTCAGAATCTGCAAGTCGGATATAAAGATCAATCCCATTTCTCAAGGATGATTGCATATCAACTAAGTTACCACTCCAAAGCATGCATCTGATTCCTCGATCATAAGCATAAGCAGTGCAAGAACAGTTATCTATACATTGTTTACGACAATCTTGCTCATTAGCTAGAGACCGTACCGCATTGCTTGGTACTTTCATCTTCTTAAGTCTCACAAACTTATCTTCTCTTCCTCCTCCATTATTTAGATTGCTCTGCCTCTCGCACTGCAATTGAGCTTTTCTCACACATCCATTACTCCAGTTCGATGCATTCCACTCTGAGTTCTTCCTCGGCACAAACCCTTTGACGCATTTACAAGGTGTTTTTTCCTGGGAACTGCAGCTCCCGTATGGGCCACATATACCGTATGCATCACAATATGTAGATGGAAACTTTGCACCGATCCTCCAGTCTCTCAAAGAAGTATCCCAATGCGTCTGATATATGGTTCCATCAGAATCCAAGTTATAGTGATACATGAAAGAATCATTATAAAATGACATTAAAAATGTTCCTTGGTTATCAATCATAAGATTAAACCCTTCAAGAGACAGAAGAAGATCCACATTTGGTAAACCGATGAAATACTGGCCGTTCCATGGTCCACTACGCCAAATAGGAACATTGTTCTTCCAGATCAGAAGCTCAGGAAACGCTAGGTCAGGAAACATTGAAGGAGCAAGACCAGCTGTATAGTTCCCTGTTGAAGGATCTTGATAGCTTCTCCAACAAGTTAGCTTCAGATTCTCTCCGGTTCTATTGTTGGTCCCAAGAGTCATTTTTCGTAAAAAAGTGTTATAAGGATGCTTGAAACTCTCCCAGAGAAATTCACCGTTGTTTCTATTATCTTGTAACGCAAGATTCCCAGTATCCATCAGCTGAACCCAATTAGCATTTGCAGCCACTGGTACTGTGACGTTCGTTGACCATAGAAGGCGGTTTCCACCACCGGTAACCACGAGATTGCCGTCGGCAGAGATGGAAACACGACCGGAAGTGTCATTGACGGGAGTGTCTTTGTTGGCAACCCAAACCACAGTTAGTTTTGGAATCTTGTCGTACCAAATCCCAACATAACGTAACCGAGTAGTGGCATTTACAGGGGTGAAAAAACCAAACCTGAAAACACCACTTTTGGAGACAAGGGTATCTGAGTTGTTGATCGGAGTAGTGAAGGTGATTCTGTCTTGGCTGAAACAGCGCCTAAACGAGAAGCAAGAGAATGTTGCAAGTAGAAGAAGATGAACAACAACAAAACGAAGACTTGTGTTTAGTAGAACCACCATAACTAGTTGAAACAGAATAGTTCAGTTCTACTTTGGTCTTTGGAAGAGTTTCCTGTAAGAGAGAAAGATAAATTTATATAATTAGATATCAATCAGTAGCTCAGACAATTGGTTTCACACAATGTACCCCAAATATCCAGGTTAAAATCCTTTTTACTCAACGGGAACGTACACTTACCATTGTCTCAGAGGTCCCCAGTTCGAGTGACCCGCTGTGGTTTCGGGTCTGGGGTTGCCGGCTTCAACTAGGTCTGGGCATTTTACTCGGACCTGAAGACCTGATCCGAAACTGACCCAAAAAAGTGCGGTTTGGATAGGAACTGAACCGATCATTTTATCCTATTGGGTCTTGTTGTGGAGGACCGCGGGTCTTGATCCGATGGAGTACTCGAAATATCCAAAATTTCTAGTATATATATTATATATATATATATGTGTGTGTGTGTGTGTGTTTCAGCATATTTTGATATTATGAGTATTATTTTAAGTTACGGATTTGGATTTTCGGATATAATTTTGGGTTTCAAGTATTTTAAATATATAATTCGGATAATCAAATAAAATTTTAGATATTTTTATATTTTTGGGTCAGATTTTAGGTAAAATTTCAGATACTTTGAGTATTTAAATATTTTTATGTGTTTTTTGTGTGTGTTTAGATATTTTTTGGGTCGGACCCGATAGGATCCAAACCTGAACCGATAAATTATAATTATCCTATTGGGTCTAAATATTTAAGATCCAAACCTATCCAGGCCTGGTAGGTTCCGAACCGAACCCGGACCTACAAATTCTAATTACTCTATTAGATTTAAATATCTAAGAGCACACCCATTGAGAGTTCAAATGGGGGATTCACACGAAAACCAAAAAAGTAAAATAATAAAAATCTATGAACCCCTCTCTCCTAAAGTTCACCCGGGTGAACCCCTCTCTCCTAAGGTTCAACACGTGTCGGCCCGGGATTGGTCTAGGTCTTTTTTTTTCTTTTTTTTTTTAAAAGAAAAATTCAAAAAGAAAACAAAATTTTTTTAATAATATAAAATTGATTCAATGAACCCAAGAGGGGGTTCATTGATGTGGATGCTCTAAGATCTAAGGACCCGAACCCGACCCGAGGACTCGAATGCCCATGCTTAATTTCAATCCTAAACCTTCTGGTACTCAAAAAGAAAATTTGCTATAGTTAGTCATCTTTGTCTGTATATAAGAAGACATGACGAAGAAGAAAAGAAGAAGATGATGTAGTTTTTTTCAACGATGGTATAGGGACTACTGTCTTTGGTGGCTTTTCACTGAATTACCCAATCAGCAATTAGAGTGGCGTCAACCCCAGTCTTGACTTTTGATGGCAGTGTGGGACAGAAAGCGAGAGAGAGAGAGGACTTGCTTGCGTTGCCAATGTTATTGGGGGACTTGTTTTTGAACTTTTGAGTAGACATTATTGTTCACATTTCACAACTTTTTTTTCAACATTCACATTACACAAGACTGTTGTTGATGTTTCATTTGACGTTTTCTGCCAAAAATAAAATCTTAAGAAATATAACTAGAGAAATTAGGCCGTATATACCTATCCCTTGTTCTAAATATCAAGTCTTCTTTCACCCTAATTTATGCCAAATTGGTGTAAAATTTTGGATGTTTGATTTTAACATATCTAGGTCATTTAAATGATCGTCTAGACGGCTGCCTAATCTTTTATTTGTTTTTCTTTTCTTTTATTTTATTTTTGTTTTTAATAATATTTTATCTATTTATTTGATCTAAAATTTGATAAATGTAACTTATATTCATAATTTTGACACAAATTAACCAGATTAAGTTTATGTATTCTATTTGTGTATTTTATAGGGTTTTAACATGAAAATGTATTAAAGTTATACACAATTGAAGATTAACATATTGTATAACATGTCAAATAATCTAAAAATTCCGCCCGCATAATCCTTACTTAATCACCGATTTTTTCTCTAGGCGCTGAACCTAACCCTGCCGCTCGATTAGCGCCTAGTATGTCCTCGAACAAGGTACCTCTCTCAAACACTGTTGATAGTCTTAGAAGATCTTGGTGGAATTATAAAACTAATCACTTATTTTATGTTAGATTTATTTTATATTAGTTAGCTTTTGTTATGATATATTTTTATTAGTTTATGCATTTTATGTAAAATCTATACTATTAGGTAATTTTATCACCTTCTCTATAATTTTAGGTAATTTTACTTATTTTTATGTTTTTAATAATATTATATCTAATTTTAGATTTAATAAAAAAAATTATATTACCAATATTATATTTTAGAAAATAAGATAATTCTTATGTATTGTGTTATTATCTTGAAAATATAGTTTATGTTATAAAGTCTAAGAATTTACTGATTTGACAACTTCTCTATGATTTTAGCTGATTTTGATTATTTTATGTTTTTAATATATTATATATACTTTATTATATACTTAAAACAAATTTATATTAATAATATTATATTTTTAGAAACAAGACAATTCTTATGTATTGAGAGGTGAATTTGCTGATTTGTCAATTTATCCATGATTTTAGTTAATTTTACTTATTTTCATGTTTTAAGATTTTTATATAACTTATTATTTAATTAAAAAAATTATATTAAGAATGTTATATTTTTTATAAAATAATATATTTTTTATTTATTGTGTTGTTATCTTTGAAATATATTGTTTATTATAAAATTTAAAAATTTGATGATTTATCAATTTCTCTATGATTTTAGATAATTTTGCTTATTTTTTATGTTTTTAATAATATTATATATAATTTATTATGTAATTAAAATGAGTTTCTTTTAATAATATATATATTTTTAAATAAGATAATTTTTTTGTATTATGTTGTCTTACATTTGTATAAATATATTTGATAAAATATTTGTGATATGTGAGTATTGCTATTTATAATCAATTGGATGTTTGATTTAAACTTTTTGAAAACATAAATAATAACTTATTATGCTTGATTTTGAATTAATAAAACATAAATTAATAAGTATACGTCAGAAAACTATGCCCGCATGTACAAACAAAACAGCTAGTTATTATATAATTTCTTGTGGAATATCATTTTTTGCATTATTTTAAAATATTATTTAAGTAAAAAATAAAAACATTAGTTAAGTAAAGTTGAAATCTAAGTTCAAGATAGAGTGAAAGTAAAGTTGAAATCTAAGTTGAAGATAGAGTGAAGTTGGAGTAGATTTTATTCCAAAACGATGTTTAGTGTAAAAAAATGGAGTAGAGTTAGAGATACCCAAAATCTATTCTTGTAAGACTCCCTGATTTCTCCAGTTGAAACAATTGTAGACATAACAATAGAATCGCTTCAACGATTCAGGGTTGCTAGCATCTATATACTCAAAGGACTCATAAAGATGAAATCTGGGCGGAAAATGGAAAAAAAAAATTAAACAAAGGTACGACATATATAAAGCAATAAAAATATATAAAATATTTAGAATTAGAAATATGCCATAAATCTTAACATAATAAACTTTTTAATATATTATATTAAACTACTGGTTTGTCTGCCTTAGGCGCATGACGGTTGTCTATTGTATTTGTTTATGTTTTACATTTTTATATTATAGATGTTAGTAATTATGGTTTTCTAGTAAGGAGCTTCAGGGTTGTCTTGCTCAAGGCAATTATTCATGATGTACTTGTAAGAATTCACTGTTTTGAGGGAATTGGTGGTGAATATGTTGAGTTTAAGATTTCTGTATAGGTCCGCAACTTCTTCAGCTTTCGTGATGTTGCGTGCATCGCTCGTTTCAAATTGACATAATATCTTACTCCAGTCGCAACGTCCGGAGGCTTATGTTCGTCAAGAGAGCCCTGCATTTGAAAGTGTATAATGTGGATACGTTTCCGGTACGGGACCGTCGATCCAACTCACATCCACACAAAAAAATTGGTAAGAAATGGATTCAGCAGAACAAGTAGAGAATATGTTCATCAAAGGATTGCAGATGCCAGTAGCGGCCCTGAGTACAAGCAATACAAGCATGTGCTTCCGACCCTAATTAGATTATCAAAATTTTCGGCTTTGAGATTGTCATTATCTTCAGTAGCGTAGTTGGTTTTAGGCTGGATTTGTTCTGTGAGGTGTGTCAGATCTGAGGTGCAGTAGTTACATAATTTTAATTAATAGGCCCAATTATTTTTTTTTGCTTCCAGCTCATATTTTCTTCGGGCCGGACCTGCAGATACACAAATCAGGTGACAATGTGGGAGAGTCTTCGAATAAGAGGAAGCTGACGTGCTATCTCTATAATATTATTTGAGAAGTCAGTTTCCTATGTGGCGCGCTCACGTTGACTCTTACACTGGTTGATTACTATGATACCCTTGATGAATATATTTAAATAGTATATTTAAATAATATTATTAATTTTATGTTTAGTTTCCTTTTTGAAACATTCCAAATTACTTTTATAATAAAAAGAAAAAATTCTTAAATTTAAAAACGAAAATATATGTTTATATAATATGATTTCATTAAAAAGGAAAGTTCACAAAATAGTAATATACTATCAAAATAGTAAAATAGTATTATTAATTTTGTATTTAGTTCCTTTTTAAAAATTTCCAACTAAAATTTATAATAGAAAAAACATCTATAAAATTTAAAATTAAAAATTAAAAAAGAAAATATATGTTTATATAATATGATTTCATTAAAAGGGAAAATTAACAAAATAGTAACATCCATTAAAAATATTTTAAATAACATAAAATATACTTTTTAATTAATAAAATACTTTCTTTATATCTGTATTTTCTTATATGAAAATATATATTTTTATATAATGTGATTTCATAACAAAAAATTCACACATATAATTTTGATATTTGAAAAAAAAATTTTACTTTTAAACATAATTTTAAGTAACATAAACAAGTATATGTTTTTATTAACTAAAATAGTTTTTAATTAAAATTATTGAATATTTTAATTATTTTCA